CTCTGCCAATTCTAATCCCTGACCCAATTATCATGTTTCCATAATGAGTAGTATGATAATGACTGAATAATTTTGTTGTATGCTCATGGCTAGTATCGCGGTGTAGGAGATTTGCGTCCCAGGTGCTTCTTTGTTGTTACCATTTTATTTGATCTTCTTCTCAATCGCGGACTTAAAACAGAAAGGCACATGGGATAGCACATAGGATTAATCAACTATGGTGAACGAACGTGTACAACCATACAACAATTTTGGATACAATCAATCCACTTACCGTGGAGTTGACCTTCTACTTCTAAACTTAGTAATCTTTGTATGCCTGTACACGTTCGTTCACCATATTTGATTAATCCTATGTGCTATCCCATGTGTCTGTTTGTTTTAAGTCAGCTATCGAGAAGATTGAACGAAATATTAACCCATCGCGACATTTGCCTTCTTTCTGTATTGATGAAATGGATAAAGGGAACTCAATATTTTTTTGTTGCTTTATTCTTAGGTTGAACACGTATTCAATTCAGTCGTGTGGTTTTCCAATAAAATGTTAATGTTTTGGACTACGCGTTCGCCCTAGCCATAGTGACCAAATGATTTATGGAACTGCACCCAGAGCCTTCAACAAGATGGCCTAACTCACAACATGTGTAGTGGGAAGGTGACCCTAGTTTACAGTTCATTCAAGACAATTGTCCCAAATCATCCAAATACAACTCGGCTACGAATCAAGCAGTACTCTAGAGCCGGTTTGTTAGCCTCATCATGAGTGATTTGAATTCAGAATCAGTCTGTTAGGACGGAGCTTAAGCAGCTCGTCCGATCGAGCACGCCTCCGAGTCAGGCCACACGCACGCTCACAACGATCCAGACATGCTGAGCCCGATTGGATGTTCACAGAACGAATCAGCTAATGTTTGTCCAACCGATCAATCGATATGTCATGGATGCAATCCAATTGATTGTTACGTCAATGCGCCGATCTCATATGCACGATTTGTCTTACATATATTTGCGTATCGAAAACTAATCGAAATAATACACACTGACTGTTGTCTCAACCTAAGTTCTCTCTCCGCTTTATTGTTGGGGGTCAAGCAAGAGTCACTCGTGCCACCCGAGTTCACCACGGAGAGTGGTGTTCGACAGGGTTGCCCTCTCTCTCCACTTCTATTTCAATTTGTTATAGATTTAATTCTTGTAACTTCCTTATCCTCGTGCGGGGATAGCGGCATCAGTTTACTCCCAGGTGACAGACTGTCTGATCTAGAGTATGCAGACGACATCGTACTACTAAGTGAAGAGGCAGGTAAGTTGCAAGCTTTTATGGATAGCTTGAGTGCTAGTGTAACGATGTTCGGCATGCACTCTGCACCTTCAAAGTGTAAAATGCTGCTCCAAGATTGGGTTGGTCCAGTCCCCAGGCTCACCCTGACAGGGGAAGTTGTCGAGAAAGTAGATAAGTTTTGCTACCTGGGCAGCTATATCTCACCTGCAGGACGCATCACAGATGAAGTGTCGGCGCGTATATAGAATGCCCGATTGGCATTTGCCAACCTGAGACATCTGTGGCGCCGTCGCGACATCCGGTTGTCTGTGAAGTGTCGCGTATATGCTGCAGCAGTTTGGCCAGATCTGCTTTACGATGCAGAGACTTGGCCATTACAGGAAGAGGATAAAAATAAGCTGTCGGTGTTCGAACACCGCTGTCTACTAGACTCATGCAAACGAGTCTAGTGGGAAAAGCGGAAGAGTAATGCTGGGGTTAGGCGTAGAGTTCAAGGTAATCGCGGTCGTCCACTGGAACAGGTAGTCGACCTTCATCTATTAAGTTGGTTGGGGCATGTGTTACGCATATCACCAGATAGGTTGCCACGGTGAGTGATGTTTGGCGAGGCAAGTAGCGGTTGGCAGAAAATGAAGGGCGGTCAAACTAAGACCTGGCATGAAGGTATGAAAACCCTTACCAGGAGACTAGGTCACATAGGCTCTGTTAGGCTCCCTAGCTGGGGACCCAGAGATCATGGTCACCGGTGGTTAGAGACACTGAGCGACATGGCTGGGTGTCGCAAACAGTGGCGCTCATGCATCTACTCATTATTTTTGTAACTTCAGTCTATGAAAATGTGCTACCTTTCGTTTAAATCTGAGCTCAATATTCTAATCATCATTCTGCTATTTTATCCAAATAGGCAACCAAAGACAGCAACCAAAACCGGCGCACGAAAGTGCATGGTTAATGGTTGTAAAAACTGAACTGAACTGAACTGCTCGTGTCATTCGTACATCTAGACCGAACACAACAGAGTTAATATTCCCAGTGAAATATTAACTCGTGTATGTCCACAGAGCTCAACTTAGCGATCTCTTAATATTTTTCAATGAATGGGAGCTCCATGGTGGACGCTGTAAACATACACCGGTGAGTGTATCGAGTGGTTTTGAATGAAAGATTTAGTTATCTACATCTTTGATTATAGTTCTGGATACACATATGCACGAGTGCAACAACTGAACGCCCGTCGCACGAATGAAGAAAGGCAAAACTGTAATGCGTTCTTTCGTGGCGCGATTTGCTCGGACGAAGCAAAAAGAAGTAACGAATTCCCTTCAATTTACGAGAGACTAGCAGAGGATTTGAATTCATTTGAATAAAATCATGTAATAACATTAGATCACCGAGTGGAATAGTTATATGATTGAGGTTACTCTTTTCGAGGACCCCCTGACCCAACTCGGGAATAGCTGAGCCTCGAACTTGTTCTGAGCTTCACGTGTGTCTTCCTTAGTTTCACCTTCAAAACAGTTACTTGTGTTTATATTCGCTGGTCAAATAACAAAATAATACGTAAACATCATATACTATTACATCATTGTATTATACGTATCATAATGTTATCGAATATAATCTTATGCCCTACGTTGCTGCATTTCCAACCTAAAATTGTGTAGGTTATTTTGCTGTGGGTTCAATGCTTACAGTCCAAATTACATTCAAATTGCACACTAATCAAACCTTCCAGGGGTTTTATGTAATAAGTCCAGATGATTGTCCACATAAATTCAGGTTTTAGAACAGAATTTCAGGCGAAATATTGTTTTCAATAACTCATAAGCATGCCGTTACTGTTTATATGTGGGGTAAAAACCTATGGGTTTGGAGGAGAACGATTAAACGTGAGGACTCGTTGACTTTGTGTATGCTGGTCTTTGTGCGTGTTGCATAAGGTATTCTAACATCTGTGCTTCGGGGTTTACAGTTATATCACGTTGGTCGTGTGAACCAGTTCCGAGGGATAAGTGCTGTGTGAAAATGTGTATGTGGACAAGAGGGAGGGGTGAGTTCGCGAACCCAGGGGAAATGGAGAGCTCGTATAAGACTCTTCTGAAATAACAGTTCGAGCCTCCAATGTTAGTTACGGTGCTGCCGCTCCATCGTTTCACATCGTCTCGTCCCCTTTATTCGTGACCTTAAACAAGTCAAACAGCCACTTCACAAGCACTGATGATGTCACCGCGGCTGGTGATGAAACGTTTGCAAACAAATTGCCAAGCTCGGCGAACAGGCGAAATGGAATTAAGTTCACCCGCTACGAGAACCCATTTTCAATATTTTGTCAAAGTAAATAACCTCTGAACCTCTCTGCGACCTGGTTGGATTATATTCCACGATCTGCGGTACTTGGAATCACTTACCCCAAAAAGAGACTGTCCGATTACCATCTTGTGCTTTTGTAGTGCGTCCAGTCCATTCGTGTGGGGATAGTGTGATGGAAGGTGGTACAAAGAAGCCCCGGCTAGCGAAAGAATCAAGAACGGGACCGATCCAACCAGATGCGCATACGTAGCGGTTGGAAGTACTTCGTGAGACAATGTCAACTACCACCTGAAACGAACGAATCGACAATTACCGCCCGACAGACAATTCGCAGCTAGCCAGAAAGATATCCACCGAATACCACAGAGTCGGAGCTGTCGATCAACATATCTCGCGCTACGATCGGATCAAACCAGTCGGAACGACACGCGGAAGAAGAGGAAACGTACGTGCCTAGTGCCGACCAAAACCAATAGGGATTGGCCGACAGGATGAGGCATGGGTCATCCTGTCGTGGAGTTAAGACTCAATTGTATACAACTGAATGTGTACACCGGTTGTTTTTAGAATTGGATCAATAAACGTTTTCCGAGCCAATTCGCCTTCTCCTTACATTGGTGCCGTCGCCCAAAACAGCACAACGATATGAAGGTACCTTGGCCGAACGCGTTTGCAGACGGAGATATGGCGAAGTAGATTCGCGATTTTAAATTAATCGCATCTTGCAGCGGCATCAAAGGGAGTGCACATCTGGTCACCGCGTTGGGTGCACTGCTTTCCGGACGAACGAGAGCCGCTTACGATTTGAATTTGGAAAGCAACCAAGCCCTGGATTATGAGAATTTAAAAGCTGCGTTGGAGGCAGAGATTTCAAAGAAGGCTGGCCGCGAGAAGGCAATGGACCGGTTTTGTGCTGCGGAGTACAACCGGACTGAGGACCCGTGGTTCACTACCGATAGGTAGAGCAACAAATTTCTCTGGGCCTGCCGGAGGCAAACAAGGAAACACGGGAGAGGCTGGCCAAAGACCGACTCATACGAAGCATGTCGGCACAGATGAGAGGCAAACTGAGGCTTGCGGTGGCATGCGGGGTGAATGATACAGACCGCTTAATTTCGATTGCGTAAGCCCATCAACAAGATGACGTGGTTTCTCGGGTGGATCCTTCGGCAACTGAAGGTAAGATTGAACAAATATTTAAATAATTTAGAAGACTGAAGGAGAAACTCAAGGGAGGATCACAAGAAAGGAGACGATTCAGGTCTCAAGTTCGACCAAAACGGTGTTTCACTTGCCACGGTATAGGGTATTTTACCCAAACCACCACATTTCTTCTTGATTTTCTCTCTCTAATCCGGCTTCCGATGGGGTGCCAAGGCTCGAGGTTTTTATTTTGGGACGTTCAAAGATGACTGTTATTGATACGGCCGCCGGGATTTCGATTATGCCTCAAGTGGAAGGGATGCCGGTGAGACCGTGCAATCTGAGCGTACGTGCGGTTGGGGGTATGCCACTCAGAGTCCTGGGTAAACAATGTGTCAGTGTGCAGATTGGCGGGGTGACCGTTAGCCATGAGATGTTCTTGATCGAATATGTAACTGAGATCATAATCGGTCTCGATCTGCTCAGGTACGTGGGTGCGAAGGTTGATTTCGCGAGAGGTAAACTAATCGTGGGATCGCAAGTACATGAACTCAGGGAAACCAGCGCATGCCCTTGTCAGCGTTGTGAGGAAATCGGCCGTTCGGGAGTGTTCAATTCCATGTGTTAAGCAATGCGTTGAAAAGCATTCTGATTTTTTTCTACTGCAGATGACGAGTATGGATTGTGTGATTGGTTGGAGCACAAAATAGAACTAATGCCAAGAGCCATGTGTAATCCGGTGTACCGAAGGATACCTCACAAGAAGCTGCCGGAGGTGGAGAAGCAAGTGCGTGACATGCTGTCAAAAAGTATTATCAGTAAAAGTACCAGTTCGTACTCGTCCCCATTGCTGCTCACTGGAAAATCTGACGGTATTTACAGATTCTGTGTCGACTTTCGAGAACTGAATCATTTAACCATAAAGGACGCCTTTCCGATGCCACTGACGGATGAGATATTTGAACAACTCTATTCTGCACAGGCACTGCCACTAATAGACTTCAGGTCGGGGTATTGACAACCACCAATAGCAGTCAGCGCCAGAGAGAAAACAGCATTTTGTGTCAACGGGCAGAAATACGACTTTGTTCGGATGCCATTCGGGCTGTGCAATGCACCAGCCGCGTTTAGACGTCTGTTGCTACAGATACTGGAAAACTTGGACGGTGTCGTAGTGTACGGGGACGATATTGTTGTATTCTCGAAGACACCATAGGAACCCGTGCGTCGGCTGGAAGCGGTGCTGGGGAGAATCAAAGTGCAGGGTGAAACTAAGTGCAAAGAAATGCCAAATCTCTCGGGACACAATCACCTGTTTAGGCCACATTGTTGGTGGCGGTAAAATTAAACCGTTGCCAAAGAAGACTGAAGCGATTGAAATTTTTCTCCTCCAAAGTCCAAGCGCCAATTAAGATCGTTTTTGGGGTTATTAGAATACGACGAAAAATTTGTACCACACTTCGTTGAAAAAGCTGCTCCCTTGTTCCAGTTGTTGAGAAAGAACAGGAAGTTTGAGTGGACGCCAGAGTTGGAGACGGTCTTCCAAGAGCTGAAAAAACTACGGCCTCTGAGAGAAGACGTCTGAAAATACCAAACCCTGCAGAAACCTTCACCGTGGCCGTCGATGCTAGTGACATTGGAATCGGAGCAGTGTTGTCACAACAGTCCGGAGTAATTGAATATGCCAGCCGCCTGCTCACAGAGGCCGGAAGGAAGTATTCAATTACTAAAAAGGAGTGCCTGGCGATGGTATGTGCATTGGAGAAATGGCGAATATATTTGATTGCGAATACGTTCCACATCAAGACAGACCACAAACCCTTGACGTGGTTGATGATGGCGTGTGACCCGAGAGGAAGACTGGCACGATGGCTGTATTGTCCTCAGGAATTCACCTTTACCATTGAACATGTTAACGGCAAAGATAATGAGATTCCTGACTTCCTGTCACGTCCGATCAACGATAGTGTTCCACCGGAAGCCATCCCAGTTTCCCGGCTGGTTTCGAGCGATGTAGAAATTATTAAATATCAGAAAGAAGACGGCCTGGTGCGAACCATCTTTGAACATCTGCAGTCAAAAACGAGGCCGGAAGAAAATTAATCAGAAATAGGAGAATTATTGAAGATCTGGGATCGCCCGCATTTGAACAATGAGAGTTTGGTGGTTGAAGTGGGCATGGAACACGGACTGACACCTAGGCAACTGCCATTCATCCCAGCCCGTCTTCACGAAAGGCTATTGAAGCTTGCACACGATGGAACACACATGGGACGGCAACGAGTTCTCCATTCATTACGACGTCGTGTGTTCTGGCCAACAATGCGTCGGGATGAAATTGAACACATCCGTTCTTGTCCCGAGTGCCAACATAATAAATATATGACGCCATCAACATCGCCAATGCAGCCAGCAGACACTCGTAGAGATTCAGTTTTCAGTTTGTACAACCATTAACATGCACCTTCGTGCGCCGGCTTTATTTGCTGTCTTTTGACTGCCCATTGGGATGAAGAATACGAGAAGAAAGAAAAGTTGAAAGTGGAGTCGAACAGAAAATGGAGAAGTTCAGTGGTCTAAGTTTGCAGAGAAATTGATGAGATGCACAAACGCCAGGGTTTACGACATCCAGCCATATTACTCAGTGTCTCTAACCATCGGGTACGATCATCCCGAGGTCCCCAGCTAGGGAGCCCAACAGGACCTACGTGACCCAGTCTCCTGTTTAGGGTCTACATACACTCGTGCCAGGTCTTAGCTTGACCAACCTTGTTTTTTTCCACTCGGTGTCTGCTTCGGCGAACATCGCTCGCCGTGGTAACCTATCTGGTGACATGCGTAACATGTCCCAACGAACGTAATCTATGGAGGTCGACCACTTGTTCCAGTGGGCGATCGTATTTACCCAAAACTCTGCCCCTAACATCAGCATTGCTCATCCGGCTACCCCACCAGATTCATGCAATGATGCGTAGACAGCGTTGTTCGAACACCGACAGTCTATCTTTATCCTACCGCCGTAATGGCCAAGTTTCTGCGCTGTGTAGCAAAACTGGCCGAACTGTTGCGGCATTCACCCGACCCTTCACAGACAGCCGGATGTCGCGACGGCGCCACAGATGTCTCAAGTCGGCAAATGCCAACCGAGCCTTCTGTATGCGAGTTAACACTTCATCCGTGATACGTCCACCGGGTGAGATGGAGCTGCCCAAATAACAAAACTTATCCACCTGCTCTATTACTTTCCCAGTTAGAGTGAGGCTGGGTGCTGGACCAACCCAGTCTTGTGGTAACATTTTACACTTTTAAGGTGCAAAACGCATACCGAATATGGCTACACTGGCATTCAAGTTATCCAGAAATGCTTGCACCTTACCTGGATCTTCACTTTGTAGCACAATGTCGTCTGTGTACTCCAGATCAGACTGCCAGAGAGTACTTCAAACCTGGGGACTGGATGTATTCGGACCTCTACCTATTAATCCAAGCTGGAGCAAGTACGCTGTTGTGATGGTCGAACTCGTGTCTCGCTGGGTGGAAGCGGTACCAATCTCGATCAAACAAGGGAAACGGTTGCTCGGATATTTATA